ACACTCCCCATTTCCCTTCCTTGTGGTGAAGGCCATGTTTGAAATATTTCATCCAGGGCCGGCCCGTGGCTCACTCGGGAGAGTGCGGTGCTGATAACACCAAGGCCATGGGTTTGGATCCCATATAGGGATGGCCGGTTCGCTCACTGGCTGAGCGTGGTGCTGACAACACTAAGTCAAGGGTTAAGATCTCCTTACCGGTCACCTTTAAAAAAAAAAAAAAAGAAAGAAAGAAAGAAATATTTCATCTAGAGCTAAAGGTGAATCTGAGCCCATTGAGGAGAGGTGTTAACTCAAACCAAGACACTTTCCAGTCAGCCCAGGCGCCGCCTCAACCAACATGTCCCCCCAGTTTTAATGGGTTTCCAAGCACACACCCAGGCCTTTTCTGCATCTTGGCTCCCTCTGCCTCTTAACCCAACAGGAGGCTCAGAGGGAAAAGGCTCCGGTATTTCCTTTCCCACTGAGGCATCTGCCTGACTGTGCATTAAACAAGATAATGGAAATACAGAAAGAGGCTTTTCCCCCATGGGGCAGCCTTGTCTGTTTATTTGTTTTTCTCCCAGTTATGTAAAAATACATAGTTTATACATCACTGGGTCCACGGAGCCTTTGGGGCTTTGCTTTCTTCTACCCAGCAACCCTGGCCTTGTAGCTCCGCCGATGCTCATCGACTCTTCCATTACACTCTGATCACTCAATAAAAAGGATTTTAGAAAACAATTAGGGGCAGCAAGGATGCGTCAGGCCTGGTGCACTCTTCAGACTTCTTGGCAAGTCCTTCTCCAAGATCCAGGGAGGATCAGGAAGGGCTGCATCCCTCAGTGTCCAGGGTGAGGAGAGAACAAGGAGGGGCTCCCTGTGGAGGCGGGGCACTCTGTGACTGTGGGCAACACAGTGAATTGCCTCAGTTTCCTCTTGTATCAAACAGGGATACCTCACTATGTTGAGCCATGCTGCTGATGGAGGCTTCAATTCTGGCTCTTCTGGTTAGCATAAGTCACTTTGTTTTCTTTTTTTTTTCATAAGTCACTTTATCTCCCCCAACCTTGGCTTCTTCTTCCATAAAATGGGGCTGTTGGTAGCACTTAATTCACAAGGTTCTTGAAAGAGCTCTATAAAAGTCAGCTATTGCCACCACTCTGCCCAATACATTCCCTTCCCAGTTCTAGGCAAAATTGTGAGCCCCGTTGGGGCTTCCCCAGTCCCAGGATCTCCTTTCCCCACCCCCACCCCCACCATTGAAGACTACCTCTTGCATCTGCTGGGAAAAACTCTTTCACACTGGTGGCTAATCACTTCGACCTTCCCAAGGTCATTTGCATTTCAAAGACGGCTTTCAAAGGAACAAAAGCTTTAGAGCTACTAAACTCCAACCAAGGTTCTTTAAAATTTTTTTTTTTATTTAGAGGCCGGCCCGTGGCTCACTCGGGAGAGTGTGGTGCTCATAACACCAAGGCCACAGGTTCCGATCCCTATATAGGGATGGCCAGTTAGCTCACTTCGGAGAGTGTGGTGCTGACAACACCAAGTCAAGGGTTAAGATCCCCTACCGGTCATCTTTTTTTTTTTTTTTTTGTCTTTTTCCGTGTCCGGCAACGGATCGCAACCCTCAGTGTTGCCCCCGTACCGGGCCAGGGACCGGCAACGGGATCGCAACCCTCGGCGTCACCCCCGCGCCTCGCTCAACCAGTGAGCGGGAACCGGTCTGCACGTGGGATCCGAACCCTCGGGCGGGAGTGCCGCCGCTCTTCCCAAGCGGCGCACTATCCAGTGCGCCACCAGGCCGGCCCTACCGGTCATCTTTTTAAAAAAAAAAAAAAATTTTTTTTTTTTATTTAAACACACAGAAAAATAGGGATGGCCGGTTTGCTCACTAGCTGAGCGTGGTGCTGACAACACCAAGCCAAGGGTTGAGATCCCCTTACCGGTCATTCTTTAAAAAATAAAAAAAAAGAAAAATAGGGATGGCCGGTTTGCTCACTAGCTGAGCGTGGTGCTGACAACACCAAGCCAAGGGTTGAGATCCCCTTACCGGTCATTCTTTAAAAAATAAAAAAAAAGAAAAATAGGGATGGCCGGTTTGCTCACTAGCTGAGCGTGGTGCTGACAACACCAAGCCAAGGGTTGAGATCCCCTTACCGGTCATTCTTTAAAAAATAAAAAAAAAGAAAAATAGGGATGGCCGGTTTGCTCACTAGCTGAGCGTGGTGCTGACAACACCAAGCCAAGGGTTGAGATCCCCTTACCGGTCATTCTTTAAAAAATAAAAAAAAAAATAAAAAAAAAAATAAAAAAATAAAAAATAAACACACAGAAAAACTAGGAACCATGCACTGTTCTTAACCAGGTGTCTGCAGATGGGTTTCTAGGGGGTCCATAACCCCCCTGAGGTTGTACGCAAACTTGTCTGTGCAGGTGGTAAGGCCCATTGCTTTCCTTAGCTTCTCAGGAAAGAGAAGATTTTTTCTTCTAAGGGAAGAAAAAAATCAAAATCCAGAAGCTGAGATCTCTCTGAAGGCCAATTCAGTGCTAATAGTGGAAATCAGCCATCAACAAGGAAAAGAAAGTTTGAACAGAGGCCTTGCCATTGCCCTCGAGATCACTCCAGGTAGATAACAGATCTTGCCACCAGTGCCAACTGGGCGTCCACCAATGGGAACACAAAACCCCAGGTTTCCTCATTGCAGGGTGTGTCTCTGATGGACTTTCATTTCCTGGGTGTCCAGGCTACTGGTTGGCCTGGAGGCTAATGATTAATCCCCCAAGCG